CCTTCAGAACCTCTTGAAGAATAACTCCTCTCCCTCCACAGAGAATACAAGGAAACTCATGGAAATGTCTGATAAAGAATTTTAAATATTCATAGTGAGAAAGCTAACAGAGATGCAAGAGAAGAGAGACAATGAACTCTAGAAGGTACAAGAGAAAAGAGATGAGTTACAAGAGGTAAGGAAGTTCCTGCATAATCTAAAAGAAAAGATATACATTATAAAAAAGAATCAAACAGAATTGTTAGAGATGAAGGCTATAAAACAGGAAATCAAAAATTTCCTTAAAAATATTTGAAGCAGACTAGATCATTAAGAATATCAAATCTCAGATGTAGAAGATAGAACCTCTGACCTAGAAAAATTCACCATAAGAACTGAGAATATAAATTTTAAAAAAATGAGAATAGCATACAAGTAATACTAGATACCAGTAAATGCCCAAACATATGAATCATCAGTATCTCAGAAGGTAAAGAAACTAATAAGGAGATTTATAACCTAATCCATGAAACCCTGGAAGAAAACTTTCCAAATCTAGAGAGACACTCAAATATCCAGACTCAAGAAATACAAAGGGCCTCACATAGAATCTACCCAAAAAGATCTTCCCTGTCAAAGGGCCTCACATAGAATCTACCCAAAAAGTTCTTCCCTGTGGCACATCATAGCAAGATTGACCAAAACCACAGAGACAAGATACTAAAATTGGCAAGAGAGAAACATCAAGTTACTTTCAAAGGATATCCCATCAGGCTAACATCGGACCTCTTGTTGGAAATAATGCAAGCAAGGAAAGAATGGGAAAATATATTCAAAGTGTTAAGTGAAAAACAATTTCAACCAAGAATACTATATTCAGCAAGATTATCTGTTGTATGAGAAGAAAAGATATAAACATTCTCAGATAAACAAAACCTGAAAGAATTTATCAATACCAGACCAGCATTTCGAGAAATACTGAAGGGAGTGCTATACCAGGAAAACTAAAGACAGACAGAAATAAGAGAACAAGAAATGACCAAGAGTAAGGCCAACTTAGTGGTAGGGACAAGTTCGGAAATATCAATAATAATGTTAAAGGCTAACTTTCAGGATTTAAGTGGAAAGATCAGACCAAAGTAACATTGCAAATTCAATAGAAGAAATATCGATTACATGGGTCTGAACAAGTGAAATAGAATTTTTTTTCTTTAGACTAAAACATTACTGGTTTTCTTCAATGCTTTGACTTCCATATTTAAGGATTTTTGTCTTCTCTTGAACTGACAGGTTCATCTACCTACTATTTGAACTGAATCCTAACCCTCTTCCTGGCTTTAAGTTTTAAGCAAATTTCTCTTAATATTTTTTTATTTTGATCTATTAAAACTAAAACTGTTCTTCTTGAAATTAAAAAAATGCATTAAAAATACCTATTAATACCCATTTAATGCCTGCAGTAAGCTATATAGCCCCAGTGAGGTGCTACTTTATAGTATGTTCACTTTACTCACTGAAGTTTATGCCTAAAGTCAGACAGGTGTTCAAAGATATGTATAGATCAGCTGTGCTTGCTATTAAAATTTTAATTAAGATACTTAGTGAATCAATAGAACATTAAAAAAAAGGCATGAGAACAACTGTAGATACTAGAGACAGTGTGGGAGATGGAGGGAATTAACAGAGGGTGAGAGGTAGGGAATCAAAGGGGAAAGAAAAGCAAAATACGTAAGAAACAAGAAATAGAAATTATTTGTTGATGATAATATCCTTGATTGCACCAATATACAATGTACTCTGTATAAAAAATTTCATTTTGTATACTACATTGATATACAGTGAATGACTGTAAACAACTTAAAATTTTTAAAATTCAACAGGAAAAAAAAAATAAGAGCATGTTTAGCCCTAGAACACCCCCATGGTACGCACAATCATCTCGAAAATGTTGAACTTTACCTGAGCCCAGGATATAGGAAACATGACATCCTATATAAAAAGACATCCCTCTCTCACGTTTTTGTTCTCGGAAATGGCTTACTGTAAGGAATTATCCTTCTCCATATGACTTTAAGAAAACTCAAATGACCCCTCATTTTCCTAAGACAACCGAGACACAGTCCTCTAATTGTCCTTTTTATCTTAAATGATTAGGTGAAGTTTATTCCCCATTTGTCAGTCAGAAGACAAGGTTTGCTAACTTGACTTAACCAAGCATCTTATGGTACTCTCCTTCCCCCAGCATCTTCAGAGGGTAACACTCCTTATTAGTTTCTTTACCTTAACACTGAGGGTAAACAAGCATTGCAAAATAGAACAACCTTCCTGAAGACCCTTCTGAAAATCTGCTGACAGTGAGGAAACACATTCCTGGGCAATATCTGATCACACCATCTGCTCATCTCATCTTTCACACTGAGTCCTTCCAGTTCTGTCCTCCTCCCTAGAAAACAACATTTTTTCCTCCTTGACTTCTAAGATACCCGCCAACGCTGTGCTTGGAGCATTCTCTTTTATCGCTATAATCATTTTAAATAAAGTCTTTCTCTAGCTAAGTCAAGGTTTGTTTTGTTTTGTTTTGTTTTGTTTTGGAAGTCCTCATATATCAGTGTCCTGAAGTCCCTCTCCCTCTCTCTGTCTCTCTGTCTCTACCTGGTGAGTGCATATACCACCTAACAAATAAAATCTATATATATACTTTAAAAAGAAAAAAGTGAATTGATCATGCTATTCAAATGATGAATGTACTGGGTTGGGTGCAGCATCAGATTTTTACCTTTTGGAAAAATAATGCTCATTTGTTCTAGATGCTTTAAAATGTTGTATTCCATATCTGTGCTTGGAACCCAGGTTTGACCCATGAAATACTTGGGAAACTGAGGGCCCAGATCCATGACCCAGTGTTTAATGGACTGTCACTAAAAAGCTCAGGATCGAGAAAATTGCCTGGTCATTGGAGGCAAGCCCACAGTTTGGACTAGCTATGTAAGGTCATGGACAGTGGCCAGGTATCTGAACAGTGGCCAGGTATCTGAACAGTGGCCAGGTGTCTTCTGTCTTGATTATTGGTAAAGCTGCTTGGGCTGACATGTCTAGGTTCTATATGAACTCTGTTGTACTCTCGATTTGATGACATCAGTGTTATTCATGAAATTCTGACCGGGGTTTTGAGTTGGTGGCTGGTATGAAGGTGGCATAGAACAGGTATAAAGGATCATAGATGAGGAACCAAGAGCTCTCTTGGGAACTACACAATGAGCAGGGTCTTGTGGCAGTGGTGTGTGTGTGTGTGTGTGTGTGTGTGTGTGTGTGTGTATGTGTGTGTATGTGTGTTCAGAGGAAGCAGTACACAGGAAAGGAGCTAGCCAACTTCTGGGTTTTAAGTTCTTTCCTTCCAAAAGTATCCATTTTCATATCTTGTAACCTAACTGGAAAAATAACCCTTCCATCTTCCTTGTTGATGGCCATACATCTGTGAGAAACAAGAGTAGTCTCAGTAAGGTCCTATTGCCCTAATCACTGTCCTCAGGATCTGCCACCTTGGGGAACAGGCAGAGCCTGGGAGTAGCAGTAGTTGACTTTGCAGACCTTTGGTACTTTCTCCTGACATATCCAAAGGAATTGTACATACTACAGCCATGACTTCCCTGCACTGCCCTTGACTGGACGGGAAGGGTATGACACACCTGGCTGTACTGAAGTGTGTCACTTTCTTCCTTTGTGTGTGTGTGTATGTGTGTGTATGTGTGTTCAGAGGAAGCAGTACACAGGAAAGGAGCTAGCCAACTTCTGGGTTTTAAGTTCTTTCCTTCCAAAAGTATCCATTTTCATATCTTGTAACCTAACTGGAAAAATAACCCTTCCATCTTCCTTGTTGATGGCCATACATCTGTGAGAAACAAGAGTAGTCTCAGTAAGGTCCTATTGCCCTAATCACTGTCCTCAGGATCTGCCACCTTGGGGAACAGGCAGAGCCTGGGAGTAGCAGTAGTTGACTTTGCAGACCTTTGGTACTTTCTCCTGACATATCCAAAGGAATTGTACATACTACAGCCATGACTTCCCTGCACTGCCCTTGACTGGACGGGAAGGGTATGACACACCTGGCTGTACTGAAGAGGAGGGTAGCAAAGAGAAAAGACTGGGACATGCTGGCTCTGCCTTCCAAGGCAGAAAGTGGGGAACATGGAACAGACTCTAACTTTTCAGTAACTTGAACAGCCTTCTCCTTGAGGGTGGCCCATCCCCCTTCACCACTCCCTGCCCTCATCCTTATCTAGTTTACAGGCTGGTCCCAGCTCCAAAGACTCTATTGTTGATTGGCTGCAATAATGGTTCCAACTGTACCTGCCTCCCTGTGTTCATGTCCTTTGCAATATGGCATCTCATCCAGAGATGAAATTCATTTACCAACTCTTGCCTCTAGGCTAGCCTCATTTCTTGCTTTGGCTGAGAGAATGTGGCAGAAGTGATAGCGTGCCAGTTCTGAGCTTTAGTCTTAAGAGCTCTTGTGAACTTCTACTTTGTCCTGGACCCTTTTATGGTCCTGTGAATCATCCTGGACCAGCCTGTGGGAGGAAGGAAACAAAGTGGCTCCTTTCACCACCACTGACCTTGCTTGAAGTTGTCAGTCCCCAGAAGAGCCACCTACCTGACCTGTACTTGACCATAGGTATGACCAACCCATCTGAGACTAGAAAAAACACTCAGCTAAGCACAGTCAAAACTGATGACCTGTAAAATTATAAGCTAAATGGATGATTGTTGTTTTAAGCCACTAAATTTTTAGATGATTTGGCTTACAGATGACTGATGCAGGTCCTAGCGAGAGTAGGTAAAAAGGAAGGCCTGTGCTATTGGTGAGGATGGGAGTTGAGATCCAAGAGTTACCTGAAACCAGGAAGTCTCTGCAACTAGTATTTACCTTGAGGATCCCCTGCAGACTACGTAAGGGAAGCCAAGCAGAAGGAGGCTGGGTCGCCCTTGGTAGGGGTGAAAAGGATAGGATACTTGTATATGCTGGGGAACAAATAAAATTTTAATAATGTTAACGAGCAGTTTTGTGCATGTACTTTTTCCAGATACTGTCTTCTTCCAGGCTGCTGATCTTGGTCACATCACTGGGGTGGAGTCCTCGTGATATGAAATCCTGGCTCATTAGCATTAGGTCTCCAGGAAATTCAGCTAAGTGGAAAAGGTTTCGGTTTGTTAAGCCTACAACGGATCGTTCCCATTTTTTTGTGGGAAGAAATGGTTTGCAATCTTTCGAACGGTACGTGAAACACTGTTTTGGTTCGTCTGACTTGAAAATTACGTTCATTTTAATTTCTTTTCTTTCTGTGACTTTTCTCTCTTTCTCCTCATTCTCGTCATTAGTAGTTGTTTCATAGGTGGTGTCATAGTCGTCCTCTTCCTCGGCCTTGTCTTTTTCCATTATGTCCAGCCCCATTCTAGACAGACATGCAGAGCTCCTAAGCCTTTCAATATAGGGTAGAAGCTGATTATTTCTCAGGGCTCGTGCAAGCTTCATTCTTTCTATGTGCCTGCTGATATTGATCTTCTCTCGTTGTGACATTTTAAACTCCTCTGGGGGCATGACTACCCTTGCTGTCCACATTTTTTCATGGGGTCCGCAAGTAGCACAAGAAGCGGATTGTTGTTTATTATATTCCATTGCCCGCTTGTAGTCTGGAGACAGCAATTTTAGTTTCTTGAGCATTTTCCGTTCTTCCTCTTGCTTAAAAGTCAAAAGTCTTCTTGCTGCTACAGTGTGAATGCCACCTAGACGCTTAACAGTGAGAGGGTAGGTATTAAACAATGGCACGGGGGATGTAGCACTCACAGAAAGAATTACCTAGTGACTGCTTCTCTTCCCATTACTAAGTGTTTGAGCCCCTGTGTAGTAGGAAGGAGGGTGGACCTTTAGGGTAAGACAAGCCTGAGTTCAGATCTTATCTCTTTCTGTTTTAGTCTATTATTGAGTTTCTAACAGAAATACTTGAAATTAGGTGACTTTAAGAAAATAGTGATTCTGGTGACTAGAACATGATCAACAAAAGCAGAGAGATTGTGGGTGCATGCAGAGAGAGAGAGACTCCTCCGCGGCTCTCTCTTTCATGACAACCAGCTCTCATGAGAACAAATCCCTTTCCATGAGACCTAGAACTCACTGGGTCCCTAGAGACATCATTCATCTCTTCATGAGAGTGTTTCCATGATCCAGTCACCACCAACTAAGCCATACCTCTCAAACTCCAACAATCTGGAGACCAATTCAAAAACATGAACCTTAGGGGTACAAATCATTAGCCAGACCCTGACTTAACCTCTCCCCTACTATGAGTTTGAAAGAATGTTTTGACCTTACAGAGTCAATATGGGGCTTCAACTAGACAACGTATATAAAACCAACCAGTGCAAGGTAGGAGCTCAAGACATGGCAATTTTCACCTTTTGTTATTACTTACAGTTACATTGCTAATTGCAACTTTGAAATAAGAATATTTTGCTGTGCAACAATTTTTCAAACCACTAGAATACTCAAGTCACCTTGGGTCTATTGTTTGCAGATTTTTTTTTTTTTTTTTGCTAATGGTTTTTGAAACTTTTACTCCCTCTAGCTAAACCGGCTGGCTTCAGTGGGGCTTCTCGGGGTGTAAACTTCAGAAAACTTACTAGGATCTCTTTTTCCAAGGGGGAGTACTTCCCAAGGGCAATGCGTGGATCTGATTTGTAGAACTTGGTCCATATCCTAGAAGGCAGAGAAGTAGGAGTATTAGAACTCCAGAAAGGGTCTTTCTGATTTACCTTCCTAGAGTAAAAAACCTCACAAAGGGTGATTCTACATTGAGGCCACCAAGAGCAGGGATTTTTGTGGTTGCTCCTTCATTTGGCAACATTCTGATATGAAAGGATCAGAAATACTACATCATACTCACCCTAATGGTGAAACAAAACGTAGATCCTCCTGGTAGCACGAGAAGTCTTTATCCTGAAAGGAATAGCTGGTATTAAATATTCTGTCTGTCTTTTCATTCATCTTACTTGACTTTCCCTCTGCAATATTCCTTTCTTGAGTCCATGGGTCTCTAGCCCTTTGTCTTCCGCTCCACTGACAGCCATTTTCCCGTTCTCTGATCATACTCTGGCAAAAAGGCTAGGATAGGAGGTGTTAATGCCTGAAGTTTGTTTCTTAGACAATTAAATGGGTGCCCAAAGGCCAGTCACAAACATTTATTGCATCATAACTGGCCTACTTTGGGGCTATTGTGAGGTCTGAGTTTAAGGCAGCAAATGATCCCCTGGGGTGAAGTGAATACACACTACCATGCTCCTAGCATGTTGGAGTCCAGAATGGGCAAAGAGTGTGTCTGGGAGATTGTCTGACCTCACAAGTCCATAAAGATTACTCAGTTATTGTAGATGAAGACCCAGTCTCTCCCTGTTTCTGGTATTTGTCTCTCCAACCTTAGCTCCTCATACTCAATCAATGCCACTCTATCCATGGTTCTCAGGCCAAGCATTAAAGCTACTGTTCATGTCCTCCCCCATGTCTTGAATATCTCTCTGTCCCTTGGCAACAGGCTTGTCTCTCAGAGCTCAGCTCCATGGCTGCCTCCTCTGTACATCTCTTTGCAGAATAATTCACCTGTTTGTCAGTGTTCTTCCTGTTTCATGCTATGGTGCTTTATGACATATTGACCTGATGGTCCAATACATTTCTCTGTCCCTCTACTTGAAAGCAAGTACCAACAGCATCTTCTTACTTTGCGGTGTGTTTGTTTACAAAGGGCCTGGTATAGAACAGATGCACAGCTTACCGTGCCCATAAAAATGGTGCTTAAACTTAAGAATGTAAAGTTTTCCTATGAAAATGACGTAGTGGGTTGTTGGAAAAGTCATGACTTATTTTTATGTTTTTCTGTGCAAAAATGTGTTATAACTTTTCCAACAACCCAATATATGATAAGATCCTTGATCTGCATGTATACCCTGAAAAATCATATTGTAGGCTATAGAGATGTACAATAATTAAATGTAAATAAGAAATCATAAAATAAAAATGAAAAAATAAAATATTTATAAAAATTTTTTAAATGCTGCTGGGTTCCTGGTCAAAGATAGAATCAAATACGTTTCTGATGGCAGGGGCCAGATGGGGGCACGGTGGTAAAACATGACCCTCGGAGGTTGACCCATTTGGGATGGTTCCAGGTTTACACCCAGAGTACACAGGAACAGGCATGCTTATTATCCAGGGCTGGCTGAAGGCTGGAGGGTGGATCACAGGCTCGAGACCCTATTGGGGATTCTTTCTCTCTCTCTCATTTGTGGTGGAAAAAAAATAAACTTAAAAAAAAAGAGAATATTGTTGGCTGGAATAGGTGTTGCCATAATTCATGTGGAAGATGTATGGTAATACATTAGATTGCTGGAAAAGTCATGATGTACTTTTCTATGTTTTACTGTGCAAAAATGTTTCACTTTTCTAAAAACCCAATATACAAAAAATTACAAATGCATTTACCTTTTGGTCCAATTATGTGTACAATATAAAGTGGGCACAAGGCTAATCAATACAGTCTTGTTTAGAGTAACAAACCTAATGGCAAGTGTCCATTAACAGAGGACTGGCCAGAGAGTTATGGTTAACCATACATATAGATGCACAGGACTATAGGAATAATAAAGATAGAGGAAGGAAGATCACTATGTACATGGAAATATCTCCAAGAAATAGTTCTAACTGTAAATTACTATTTGTACTGAGAAGGAAAAAAATAAGCACATATATTTGTATATGCATAAAGACACGGGGAGAACAATTATCTGAGATAGATACCTAACAGATGAGGGAATGGTGGAAATGAGTGTTTTTATTGCATACATTATTGCATTGCTTAAATTTAGAAACATGTGACTGTATTATGGATTTGAAAAAAAATGATCAATGAGCAAAAATAAATAAATAAATAAAGCATCTCATGAAAAGGATTGCCACACTATGACTGAGAAGTACCTGTGCTGAAACTTCTTATCTCTGCCAGAAACTCACAGCAGAGATGTTTAGTCTTGGTGGAGTGCTCCTAACAATGTAGCCGTCTGTAATATAGAAGGTCTCCTTCCTTCCACACAGACAAAGAGTGAACCCAGAAATCAGCAGAGGGACTCTAAATCGTGAATAAAATGACTCCTATGCTACATTCATTGACATCCCCATTTGTTTTACACTTGACTGCTAATTAAATGTGATCTTGAACAAGCCGTACGATACCTACCACATTGTATGTAATCAACAAATAGTTATGGAACAATCAATAAATGATACATAATGGAATATTGTGGAAACACCAGAAGTCAAGTTAAAAATTTCTAGTAATATATTCATGATATAATGTGATGAGAGAAAGAAGGCATAATGTTAAATTATATGGGGTATGAGTTGGAAACTGTAAATATAAAATTATGCATGGGAAAAAGGATTAAAAGAAAATATACAGTGTCATCAGTGGTTACTTCAGGTTGTGGGCTTCTAAGAATATTCCAGAGCTGGCAATACGCTTACAGTCTGGTCACCTCCAGATATTTACATGGAGGAGCTATGGCCCATCATGACAGGTACAGGCAGAAAGGGTGTAGGTCACGCTCCTCCAGACATGGGCATAAGGAAGATTAGAACGAACATGCTTGGGAGGGATAGCATAATGGCAACATAGCTCTACTCTGTGGCAAAATCAATTTTGCCCCCCCCCACACACACACACTGAGTTCCACAAACTTCTGCTTTTAGCTCACTTCCTTTTCTTACCTTCTTTCTCACATTTCCATTCCCAGGCTTTTTGCTTTATATTTTTTTTTACAAAGATATGTTCTCCAAATTTTTGTATTAGGTTTTTTTCTCGACTTTTACCTACTTGATTTTATTATTCCTCTTAGTCATAGGCATCAACCTACCTCCGGGTTCATTTTATAATCCTCCCTCTCCCTTTAAGAAAAAAATTTTTCTATTTCTTCCATGAACAAGAGAACCTCCAAAAGGGTCCTGATGCCAGAATTCAACCCCTGCCTTAGCCAGGCCCAGATCATAGACACATACACCTCGAACACCCAGGGAAGTCTCTAGTCCAAAACCCAGAATCTTTCCTTCACAGACCTTCACATTTCACCACTGTTCCACCATCTAGCCCCTTAAATTTTCTTCTTTAAATCCCTTTCATTTTGACTTTACCTTTATGTGTACTTAATATATTTAGCTTGTAGCATTTACATATATTTCATCCATTCTTAATATTTTTGAAGTTTGACCATATTATATCAAGTAGTCCAGAGAAAAACAAACAATAGGACATGTGTGTATATAGAGACAAATTTATTTTAGAAAATAAACTCATACAATTTTAGAGGCTGGCAATTCCAAATCTGCAGGGTGAGCCAGTAGGCTGGAGATCCAGACAATAGTAAATAGTGTAGTTTAAGGCCAAAAGCCATCTGATGGCAAAATTTCCTCTCATTCAGGAGAGGTCTTTATTTTTTTTCTTGAGAGATTTTTGTTATAGGGCATGAACACTTGCCAGAGAGACAGAGAGAGACAGAAAGTGAGAAATCACCCCTTAGAAGGATGACCGTGCCAGGCTTCTCCTCCATTCTCCTTTTGGGATCTTGGGCGTGCATGCACACACACCTGGCGTGAGATCCAAGACCTGTGTCCAGGACTCGAACCAAGGTCCACCATGTTGGAGTCTAGCCACATGACCACTACGCCATCTGCTGCTCTCAGGAGAGGTCTTATATTTGTATACTACTCAGGCCTTTAATTGATTGAATGAAGCCCACTCACATCAGAGAGGGCAACAGGATTTACTCAAAGTCTACCAATTTAAATGCTAGTCTCAACCGAAAACACCCTCACAGGAACATCTGGAATAGATCAGACCAAATACCTGGGCACCATGGCCTAGTCGATTTGAAACATAAAATTAATCATCACATATATAACTATTATTGATATAAACCCTTTGTCAGTTATATATAAGTATCTACTCTGTGACTCACCTTTCTTTTCCTTTTTTTTTTTTTTTTTTGGAGAGGTTTTTGCTATAAAACATGTGTGCTCTCCAGAAAGAGAGACAGACAGACAGAAAGAAAGAAATCACTGCCCAAAAAGGATGGCCACACCACAATCCCTCTCCTCCATTCTCCTCTTGGGATCTTGGGCACACATGCACATGCACCCGGCATGAGTTTAAGCCACAGGGTCTGGGACTCAAACTGCTGTCAACTACATGGGAGTCCAGTGACATAGCCACTAAGCCAACTGCTGGTCCCACCTTTTTGCTTTCCTAAAGGTGTCTTTTGATGACTAGAACTTCTAATTTTGGGAGATTTTATGTTTATTGTACCTGTGCTCTAATTTATCACCGTTTTTCTTTATGGTTAGTACTTTCTATGTCTTGTTTAAGAAATCATCTCCCCCACCCACCCACCCAGTGGAGTTTGCTGAGCTCAGGGGGCCTGGGGCATGCATTAGACTCTGGGAAAGGGAAAGGTTTGGACATGCCACACGGAAGCTGTAGCTTCTTCCCACCTCAAGGCCCCTTCGGGCTAGGCCAGTGACTGTCTTCTCTCACCTTTCCTCTCGGCAGTGCCAGGTGGCGCCAGTGATTGTGGCCGCGTCCAGGAGGTGACTCCTTGGATTCGAGATGACCAACAGAGAACCTCTTCCCAAAAAGGTTCAACTGAGTGAAAGAGACTTCAAAGTTATGGCCCAAGACAAATTAATTCTGAGATGGTAACAATGTGAAGCGTAAGTGCAAGCTTGGGAGGGCAAGTACACGGATCTTAACTCTAACGATATAACTGGCTTAAGGGAGTCTTAAGAAAAAGTAAAATAGCAACAGCAAGACTCTGCATGTAGGAAAAACAACCTTGTAATGTGACTAGTAACCAAGCAACAAGAGATGCAAGAGTGTACTACTCAAGTCCAGTACCTTAGACAAGTCTAGCAGAGTATTGCCCAACTGAGATCAACAACGGTAGGCCCCGCGATCAGCTTGTTTTTCCAAAAGATGAAAGGTGAACTGGAACAGATGAAAGACAAACTAAAACAAGCCCAAAATGAACGGAGTGCCTGGAAGTTTATGCCTGATAGAAGACTGATAGAGTGAACTCTTCCGAAGAAGTGTCATCTCCGAAAAATTCCCCTCCTGGAACATGTAGACACTTGAGAAATGTTTCTGTTTGAAGAAAATAGAGGGAGAAACAGAAGTCTTATGTCTGTGGCACTCTGCATCTTCAGACTATTTGGAGAAATGAAAACCTAGAGATTTTAAATTATGAACTGAACATGTAAAATTCCAGTAAAATGTAAAGATTCAAGATGTGTGGCTCTTAACCTTGAGCACAGTGACTTAGACACTGATTGTCAGTTTTACCAATAAGACTGTGGACTTCATGACCGCTATTGAACTTCTGGTTAAAACTCAAATAAGGCAAATTTTGCCTTTAAAGGGTTTTTTGCTAAGAACAAACTTACAATAGCCATGAGAGAATCAAATGGTAGATGTCAGTACAAGTAGTGCCTGTATTTAACCATTTAATTGGGGGCTTTGTTTTACTCGATTGAGCC